AAAAAAAAAAAAGAAAGAAAGAAAAAAAAAAAAATTCACAGCCAGAAATAGTGGGAGCCTCAAGTCTTTCCTCCACTCAGGTGCTCTCTGATGTCCTCACTAGACCTCAAACCGCACAAAGGAGACCGGTTTTGTTGTGGTGGTGGTGGTTGTTAAATTCAAATTTATTTTTATCAAATGTTTTTTGTTGAGATATAATTGACATAAAACATTATGCTAATTTCAGCTGTACAACATAATGATTTGGATATTTGTATATATTATGAAATGATCACCACAGTAAATCTAGGTAACATCCATCACCATGCATTGTTACAATTTTTTCCTTATGAGAACTTTAAGATCTAGGTTCTTTTTTTTTATTTAAGATTTTATTTATTTATTTGACAGAGAGAGACACAGCGAGAGAGGGAACACAAGCAGGGGGAGTGGGAGAGGGAGAAGCAGGCTTCCCTCTGAGCAGGGAGCCCAATGCGGGGCTTGATCCCAGGAGCCTGGGATGATGACTTTAGCCGAAGGCAAAAGCTTAACGACAGAGCCACCCAGCCACCCCTAAGATCTACTTTCTTAGCAACTTTCAGATATACAATACAGTATTATTAACTATAGTCACCATGCTCTGCATTACATTCCCAGGACTTACTTATTTTATAACTGGAAGTTTGTACCCTTTTGAACCTCTTTGCCTATTTCACCTACCCCACCCCCCCGGAAGTGATTCTCTATTATTTTTCACTGTGTACCCAGTATGTGGTAAAGCGCCTGGGATAGAAGGTACTAGATAAAATTTGTTGAATGAATCATGAACCCACTACTTCTTACCTAAAAGACCCTGATAAGGGGGAAATTAGCAAACCATGCTCTCTCATTTGTTCAACTGAGCCTAGTCTCTCTTTAACAACCAACAGAATTAGCAATCCCAGAACTACTAGCCACCCTGACATTTATACCACACTCCCCTTCTCTGGGACCTCTTTTTAAAAACTTCGTGTTTTGGGGAGGGGGCAAAAAACGTTCACGCTGAGACTGACTTCTCTTGTATATATATCTAAGACATTCTTTACTCTCTGCCAGACCTTTTCCTAAGCCTTGCCGAAAAGGAGATTATCTCTGTAATCCTGTCATACGTAATGATTCCCTTTTCCCTCATTTTTTTCCAGCTTCCCACCCATTCCTAGTCAAGCCCTACCTAACTTCCTAATCCTGTTCAGTGTCTCTCAGGATTTCTTGACACAATTTTAATGATGCTAAGCCCTGAAGCTAGACATCAAAGGAATAAAGCATGAATAGTATCTATTCTGTCATAGATTTATTCAGTGTTCTGTGTCCTAGATTTGGGTGTGTGCATGTGTGTGAACTGCTTTACTTTCAGCCAGACACAAAGCCCATGTTGAAAAAGCATAAATCATTTATAAATTTGCTAACCCCCATTTTTTACCTTTATTCAAATAAATCAACAGAATTCGCTCTATTTGAATTTTATTCACCTGTTTATTTATTTTATTTTATTTCATTTTATTTTATTTTTACTTGAGTATAGTTGACACACAATGTTACATTAGTTTCAGGTGTACAACATAGTGATTTGACAAGTTTATATATTCCGCTACGTTCACCACGAGTATAGCTGTCATCTGTCCCATTACATCGCTGTTACAGTATCATTGACTATATCCCTAGTCCCACGACTTATTCACTCCAAAACTGGAAGCCTGTATCTCCCACTCCTCTTCACCCTTTTTGCCCAACCCCTCTCTCCTCTCCCCTCTGGCAACCATCAGCTGTGTTTGTGAGCAAGAGGAGAGGACAGGAGTATGTGCCGAAGAGGTGAGGATAAAATGAAAGGAAAGAGAGAAGCAAGTTAGGATGGCCTGGTAGCAGGCTTGAATCCAGGTGCCTACCTTACCCTATATTCTCTAACATTTCTTCTCTGGCACAACTATGAGCTGGAATTTACACAGATGTAGACAATTATGCCCCTGAAACTTGAAAGTTGGCTTCCAAAGCAAGTTTATCCCATTGTCTACGCAGATGCCATTTGAGTGAGAATTTAGAAAATTCAAGAGTTTAGAAAATGACCTCCTCCAGCCCTGCCAGAGCCCTTCAAGCTCATAGCATTTAGAAACCAAAACGAGGCTCTCTGATGGGCTTTGGTGTGTACCCACAGGCAGATTGGGCAGATTTGCCACTCAGCGTCCCTGGCTTGTGTATATTCTTTTCTTCCCGATGTCCTCCTTTTCCAAGAGCAGACAGAGCCCCTTCAGTGAGCGAGCACCACGCCAGCTGACAGAGAAGGGCACACTTCTCCCTTGGTGGCCAAGTGGCCATAAACCATCCAAGGCCGCTGTTGTCCTAAATGTGGTTCCGAGCTCCCGGACTCAAGTAGAGGGAATAATAGTGCCCTGAAGCTGTCTTTGGCACACACTGATCCTGGTTCTCTAAGAAGAGCGAGTCCCTGAGTTACACGGTCCAACAATGGAAAGCGAGTCCTGCCCAGAGTTCTGTCAGGCAGCTCCCAGGTTATACACAGCTTTAGAAAATGGATACCCTGGGTTCAGATAAGGCGATCAAAGGGGAGCTTTGCAGAGCGTGCCAGGCTCAAGTCAGTGACAGAAAAAGCAAACTTTTGACCTTCTGGGTGTTTCTAGTTCACCAAAGAAACTCAATCACACACCAAGGAATTGATTTTACAAAAGGCTGATTTGAAGCTTGGCTCCCCGGATCCCATACTAAAATTCCTCCCTGGTGCTTTTTTCAGGAAGGCAGAGAAAAGTGAAGAGAAGTGAGAGTGAATCCGGTGCACTTTGACAGCTGCTGAGTTCATTCCCTGGCTTTCGGGATTTCCCACCCTACTAGGAGGAAGGATATAAGTAGTTTTCAAGGAGTGGGTGGAAAGCATTTTCCCTAATTCAGGGTTCAAACATGGCGTCCGTAGGTTCCAGGAAAAGGAACACAAAAGTGCTGGTGTGTATCCGCTTATAGCTTCCTTGATTAGTTTATTTTTGTAAAAGTGTCCATAGCTTTCTTCGGATCCTCAGAGAGGTCTGTAGACCAAACTAGGTTAAGAACTGTTGCCCTGTGTCCTACATTATTTCCCATTCCCCTGGCATTGGGGACAGAGACCCTGAAGGTAGAGGTCCAGTAGTGGGTGATGAACCGCCACTGTGGTCAAATTCCCTGAATAAGGAAACTGATTATCCCATTGGCTCCCTCCCGAATGACATTATACCAACCTCTACTCCCACAGTAAGTGAAATGAGAAATCACTCCCTCCACCACAGTCTCACTCCGGCATCATTTACTCCTTTCATAACACTCAGTATATTTCATTACAACCTTCTCCCTACCTCTTGCCCCCATCCCAGTAGGAATAGGCCTGCTTCAGCCATCCTGCTCTGGACAGACTCCTTATCCTTATCTGCTTATTCTCGGCAAAAGAGCCTTGACTAAAATCACCTGAGTACATCCTGTTCTTGTTTCTATTCTTAACAATACCTAAAGGGATTATTATAATCCAGGACTATATAAAGGCATAAAAAGGATTGAGATCGCTGAGCTTAGCTAAACGTTGACTCCTAAGTAACAAACCATAAACAACATCCATCTCTATTACGGGGCGTTGTTCCGATGTCAGCAGAATTGGTGAAATCCTCGGGCAGGCCGACTTGAGAAGGGACACATGTCCATGGCCTAAACTCTTTCTGTTACTATTTCTGTTGTTGACACTTTTCCTAGCCCGCTCTTGGCCCACCCCTAACTACTCCGTTCCTTATGTCAGTATTAATATGATAATTGGAAAGAATTATCGGTCCCTTTTTTCCCATTCTGCAACTTGTAAAAGTTCAGACTTCACATAGAGAATCTTCATCCAGCACAGCATTGCACCGATAGTACCATCTTTCCTATTTTGCTAATACTCTAGGGTGTCACTGAATTGATCATCCAGGAGAAATGCTACACCACGACCACGGGTGTAGACCGGGATCATCCAGGCAAACCGGGACATGGTCCCCGCATCCTGCACAGAACCATGCGGTGCTCAGTGATTCGTTCTTTTCTCTCACGCACAACTTGCATCACCTGCTTCATATTGGATCTCTCTCCCAGCTAAGGCGGAAAAGGTAGAATACGCTCTGGAGCAAGAAGATAACAAATCCCAAGTTAGGAACTCCCTGAAGAAAGAAATCGCCAATTTGCGGAAGTCAGGAACAAGGCTGCTCCCCGCCTTACATTATTCCATAGTCCTTTGCGGCAGCCCCCAGCTGCAGCCTTGCTCTTCAACCATCTCACATTCCCTGACATGCCCACTAGGCCATATTACAGTTAATTCCCTGACTTTGCTCCACAAATTGCATATAAATTTAAAACATCGTTCAGGAATCATGTATTCTAAAAGACAACCACTGAGAGGCGCCTGCATGGCTCAGTCGGTTAAGCGTCTGCCTTCAGCTCCATGATCCCAGGGTCCTGGGCTCGAGTCCCATATCGGGGGGGGGGGGGGGGGGTCCCTGCTCTGCGGGGAGCCTGCTTCTCCCGCTTCCCCTCCCCCTCTGTCTGCCCCTCCCCCCGCACGTGCACGTGCACCTGTGCGCTCTCTCTCTCTCTTTCTCTCCCCCTCGCTCTTTCTCAAATAGATTAAAAAGATAACTACTGAATCTATACCAGGATTACCTGGAGCTAGGGGTGCAAGAAAAACCAGCCCCATGCTCATTCTTTCTTCTTTCCACAGATTCGAAACGTGGCAGCAAATCTCTGCGTGGACAGCAAGCATGGAGCCACAGGCACTGAACTGAGGCTGGACATCTGTATCAAGGATGGTTCTGAAAGGACGTGGTCTCATGAACAGGTAGGTCAGCAACCAGAAGTGACAGGAGCAAGCGGGGCTGAGGCAGGCATGGAAGCATAGGGTGAGATATCTAACCAGGACTGGTGGGAAGTGCAGTGGGGTCCTGCTTCCGCCACCAACCAGCTCTGTTGTTCAGTGAATTACTTACCTTCTTGGTTTCTGTTTCCTCTCAGAGCAGCTGTGATAATCAATTGAGATCGTGTACAAAAATGTGCTTTAAATAGTAGAAAAGATGGTAGAAACATCCTAGGCTTATATTTCCTTTCCCAGAATGGTAGTCTTCAAACCAGGAAAAGCCTGTAGAGTGCTATGTAATCTTCCAACTAAACTTCACAGTTTTACTGAAAGACTCTTTGTTATTTTGTAAGTTTTTTGCGACTTTATCTCATCTTGTTTTCCCCTCTGGTGATATATTGAAAAGAATCCTTTACATACCCCTCTTGTTGCTGTAGCAGTCTGTCATCCTACACATGAAAGACAACTTTGAGGCAGTAACAGCCCATCATGGGCTTCCTGGGATACTTTGGAATTATTTATTGCCTTTGATTGAAAAGCATTTCAGGGCAATTCTGTTTATTAAGTGAGTTGCGACTCCTGACCCCCTTTGAAAACTGATGGTCCTTATAAGGGTCTTTCCTCACACTGTGTCATTTGCAAAAGAGAAAAGATAGTGGGTAGAATTGTGTCTGCCCCTTTCTATTTTCTTAATTTTTAATTATGAAAAATCAAATAGGGGGATGCCTGTGGCTCAGTCGGTTAAGCGTCTGCCTTCAGCTCAGGTCATGATCCCAGGGTCCTGGGATCGAGCCCTATATGGGGCTCCTTGCTCCCCAGGGAGCCTGCTTTTCCCTCTGCCTCTGCCTGAAGCTCCCCCTGCTTGTGCTGTCTTTTTCTTTGACAAATAAATAAATAAAATCTTTTTTAAAAATCAAATAGGAAACTATAAAAAATATTATAACACACCTTGGCACAGTCATTACACAGATTGAACAAGTATCTGCAGCTATTGCCATATTTTTTAAAAGAATAAAATATACAGATACAGGTAAAGCCCCTTCCCTATCGTACTCCCCCTCTCCCTCTGCAAAAGGCTACATCCCACGTTCAGGATAGCATAAATTGCCTGTGCTTTGTTTCCAGAATTTTCCATAATGCCTCTCTTATGAAAACCAGAAACAGTAGACAAGCAGTTTCCAGTAAGGCTTGAGTTTTCTCCTATAGCTAGCATCCTCAAGGACCCATCTTGTATAGGAAACTAGTGAAGACAAACGATGCCCAGCCTAGGATCTTAAAGAGCTGTTCGGGTGTGCTGAGCTACATCATGTCGGCACCTCGCTGGCCTCCCCCCACTGTCCCATCTGACCCCGCGTGTGGCCAACACCACAGTGCAGAGCAACGTGATTCGGGAAAGCCGCGGGGAACCAAGTGCACAGCACAGTGCAGAATTAACGCCATCAGCCAACGAACCAACACTGCCCCTCCCCGATCGGTCATCTGGCCCTTGCACTCTGATCCACAGCCTCATGGTGTTCCAGAAGGATCGTGGCCCTTGCAGTCAGGCTCACCTAGATTGCAGCCACCTTAACCTGTGTGACCTTGTGAAATTGTTACATCTTTCCAAGCTGGAGCTCCTCCACCTCTAAATAGGGACAGTAATATTCACCCCACAAACAGGTTTATTATGAGAATAAACCGTGTCTACGATATAAGAGCATCTTGCTCCTGTGGTAGGGGCAAAATAAATGTACTTTCCCTTCTGCTTGCCATCTCTTCCCCCGGACCACTTTATACTAACACTAAATTAGAAAACTCTCTCAGATCCAAGCTGCCAAAACCAAATACTATTTATCATTCACTCAAATATATCTTGCAGCGAGCAGACACCTATCAGATGGGTTTTAAGGAAGGCTCTGCAGGGGCGCCTGGGTGGCTCAGTCAGTTAAGCGTCTGCCGTCAGCTCAGGTCATGATCCCTGGGTCCTGGGATCGAGCCCCACGTCAGGCTCCCTGCTCAGCATGGAGTCTTCTTTTCCCTCTCCCTCTGCCCCTCCTCCCTGCCTGTGCTATCCCTCTCTCTCTCTCAAATTTAAAAAAATGTTTTTGAATAAAAAAGCTCTGCAGCTTCAGGATTTACTGATGGGAAGGAATATCAGCAAAAGTTGACTTGCCACTACTTCCCCCATCTCCTTCGGTAAGCACCACAGGAATGTTACTAGGGATGTGAGGAATAGTCTGGCCTGTCACCTCCAAGAAGCAATTTTGACTTCAGCCTGGGAGCAAGAAAGAAGGCTTCAGAGGCCTATCAGTAGGACCCACATTTAGAGTGGAAAAGGATACTTTTTTAAAGAAAAAAGAAAAAGAAGCATGCCGTATGGAAAATCTATGTCTATTGGGCTAAATCCCTCTCTACCCTGTGCAGCCCAACCAGGAAACACACCTAGCCAGCCATTGATAGGAAGTATGCCTTGCCTGAATGCCTGAATCAGGTTTCATAGTTCTATCCCCTGGAATGTTCTAGAATGAAATATGATCTGGATCACAGATTTTATTTGACATCCATAAAATACATGTAAATAAAACCAGCTATACCGCATACACTTTAAAAATGATTTCTTTTTCCCTCCTCATGCCGAACTGCCAAAATCTATGTCATGTAACTCAATAAATAGTCACCAGAGGGCAGCACCAGACAAGCAGACACCTGCATGAGGCACAAAAAGACCAGTTAATACAGAAAAGATTCCTGATCTCTAGAGATCCTGAAAACAGAGCTACAGGGAGATTAAACAAAGTTGACAGGAGGTAAAAAATGAATCATCTTTGAAATACGTATTACAATATATTGGCTTGGTGATTAAAACATTACAAGCTGCTTTGTTTTTCCAATAATCATCTGTAAGCTTTATTCACTGTATTACTCAGTGATTTACATGAATTAAGACTCATTCTTCTCCATTTAGATTAAAATGTCTGGGCGAAAAAAGAAGTATATCAGAGCAGGAAAATTATAGGTATTCTTTGTTATTCAACAGCATTCAAAGAACCCACAAAGGGCACTTATTAGAGTTGAAATGATCCTTTTTAACAAATGGCAAAAATAAAACACAAATGAATAAGCAAAATAGTTACATGGGAAATAAAGGATCGTCTACTGAAGCACCTTTATAAGAAAATACCTCTTGCTGCAGAACACCAGCGATGTCTAATGTGGCTTCTGTGAAGGAAGCAATTTGTGTGATTCACTTTTCCAGGGCCTTCTATTTAGCTGTTTGAGATCACTGTAGCATTGTGTGCTGGCTTTCAGCTTCCTTTAGGGACCAAGAAAGAAAAAGCAGAGAGAACTTAATAAGACTGTAAGGTCTGGAAAGAATACCCTCCAAATGTCATTAGGAGTCCAAGGGAGAGGGAAGGGAGGAAGTGGCCTACAGTTTGGACCTGGCAGCAGACTCTGATCTCATGCTGGGGAGGAAGCATTGTGGCGGAGCAGGCCTTCCTCCTGCTGAGGAAGCAGGTCTCCCTTCGCAAGACCTGGAGTGGAGATGTGCACAGAGAGATGGGAGCAAGTCCACATATGTGGTAAGGGACTGATTCCCGGGATACACAGCCTCACTCACAGAACAGAGTTGGGTACCGAGTAGAACATGCACTACCTCAGATTTCTGCCAACCACATAACAAGGAAATAAAATAGAACCACCCAACGGAGAGAAAAATATTTGCAGTCTTCTCAAATCAGGTAGCAAGCTCAAGGTGATAAGTGTATTTGCAGTACTGAGTCTAGTTGAGCTTATTCGTATGACACAATATAAACCCGGGCAACATTACACATACCACATTGATAGCAAAGCAAAGAAGTGCAAGTTAGGTATCATTCTGGATCCGTATTTAAAAGTAGCAAGTGGAGAGATTAACATCCATTTACTCTAAAACTGAGGATCTGAGGTTGGAAAAAAAATCAAAAGTTATTGTACAGGAAGCCTGAATGAAATCTAAATCCTTCCATCAGTAAGGAACAGTCCAAGGGTAAGAGACAAACTATAAATGTCACAATAACATCATCACATGCAAACGATGAAAATACATTCACAATGTCCGCTCGTTTCTGGTTCGACAAAATTGCACAGGAGAAAGCGTGCCTAATGAATGAAAGGCTTGGTGCCTGATTGGATTGACATGGCCATTAGGATAAGATAAATGGCAATAGGAAGCATTCCGAAGACATAAGAGAGAAAAATTCTAGCTAATGGTAGGTGCTGAAGAATAAAGCAGTTGATATAATCTGGAAATGTCACTTGGGGTGCAGGAAAGTAATCACCATGTAATCATGATGATGATGATGATGATGATGATGATGATGATATAGCATAAAACACTGTAGAGACTACCAGCTAACAACCAATCTACAAATTTAAGAATGATTATTGCGCTACAATGACAAACCTAGGAACGAGAAATAAAAGTCCCCTAAGGAGCCCTGGGATATAATTGGGACAATAGATGAATAAGTCTATCAAGAGAAGAATTTGTTAATGTTTGCTTTAACACAGGAATTCTTTTGTACTTAACTGATCCATTTAATTAAAAATTAAGAAAGCAAAAAGTAAAAAAAAGAAAGAAAGACTGTCTATAAAAGAAGATATAAGCCAGGGCACCTGGGTGGCTCAGTCAGTTAAGCGTCCGACTCGGTTTCGGCTCAGGTACTGGTCTCAAGGGTGGTGGGATTGAGCCCTGCATCTGGCTCCCCGCTTAGCAGGGAGACTGCTTGAAGATTCTCTCCCTCTGCCCCTCCCCCCACTTGCTCATCATTCTCTCTCTCTCTCTCTAATAAATAAATATATCTTAAAAAAAATGCATAAACCAGGGGGCATGGATGACTCATTCCGTTGAGCAGGGTACTCTTGATTTCAGCTCAGGTCAGGATCTCAGTGTCATGAGATCAAGCCCTCCATGAGATTCTCTCCCTCTCCCTCTCCCTCTGCCCCTCCCTCAAGTCCCCC